AATTTAAATTTTGTTATTTTTTTCTGTGTTTTATTTTTGAAGTCTTTTGGACTTTATGAATCTTAGTGCAGCATTAAACTGCTAATCAATAAATACTCCAGAACACTGTACTTAGGTTTTAAAACAGTCTTTGTTATTGAATGCTCTTAGTTCATCATGTTTTGGGGGCTTTTAAAATATAGACATGTAGAGTTACTCACAAATTAGAGTAGTCAAATAGTATTTTGATTATTAATAGCTTTGGTATTCACTGAGAAGTTTTATGGCATTTGCCATTCTCTGACTAGTTTTATAGCATTTGCCAAATATTTTAGTAATACAGTGAATGTTAGCTGTCAGATCCAGTTGGACTTATTTTTTCCAATTCATTCTTAATTTCTGTAGCATTCAAATTACCAGTTCGCTGTAAAAAGTTATTTTGAGGGGATAAAGATGTCTGAGAAGACTGAAGAGCAACTCTTTATGTGTCTGCTTTTTATATTTCATAACATTGAAGAATAAGTTGATTTCAGTTTGTTTTTATTGTCCTAAAGAGACCATCGTTATCAGCATTCTTATCTTATCCCCAACCAGCACAAAGCACATTATTGATATTCCTGTTTGTTGGTGCATACTAGTATGGAAATCCATTTGAATGTCGTATAACTAAATACATGTTTCTAATTACAAGTACCTTGGCAGGAAACAGTCTTACAAAAACAGAGATCAAAAAGCAATTTCAGGATATTTGTAGAGCTCTGTGTTGAAGATCATGTACTTGGGAATCAGGGTTCACTTGGGTGAGGAAGAGAAGAGAAGCAGGAGTTTACTCTGCAGAATTGAAAACCAAATAATAAACTCTTCGGGAACAAGACAGTGAATTTCAGCCTTGATTTTTGAGGAAAAATCTACAGTGATTCTTGGACCTCAGTGCAAATTTCAGTTTCATCTAATTACAAAGGAAAGGGGTCAAGATATGTATTTTGTTGATAGAAACAAGGAACTGTGGTTAGTTATTTCTCTCTGAAAGTACTTTTGTGTGGACGCCATGCACTTATGTGGCTGGTTTCTCCTTTTGCTCTCCCCCTCCTATCCCAAGCACAGCACTGCTCTAGCATTCCTACATATGATCTCCTTGTCTCATAAGGATTAGGTTAGTCCTGTTGGCTGGGAAACAGATAATACATTTCTCAACTTTTATGTTACATTAGAATATTTGCCTTAATTTTAAGCCCTAAATACCTGGTATTTAAATGGAAGAGTTGGCCTCTTTTGTGAGGATGTTTGCAATTTCCTGACATGAAATCCCTTGCCAGCAAGCCATGGAGCAAGCATCCAGTCAGGAAAGAAGTGTCCTTAACAGAAATCATGTTTAGTTCTGGTGTTTCAAGGCAATAGTCTGAGAACAAATTAATCTCTTCAGCATTATGTCCTCAAAACCAAAAACATTAGGACCCACCTACACTGATGCAGGAATTTACTGCAGTAGGACAACTTCCCCCCGCCCCAATATTATATTCCAAGTATTCTGTGGAAAACAACAAGAGCCAATGCAAAAACCAAAAAGGATTTTTCAGTTTAAACCGTTGTTTGAAATGAACTCAAACATATCAAATGGACTCTTCTCCTGGTGACTTCACAGACAAAGGCAGTATTGACATGCCACAAATACCAGGAGCAGGATTTATGCAGCTGAGTCTGCTCCAGTGCCACAGCCATAATCGCCTGCTCTGCCTGGCACTTTGTACAAGCAGCCATTTGTTAGAAAAATAGATTTCATTAGTGATTTTTGAGCTCAGAGTGCCCTTGTACAGTCTGAGAGAACATGCAGAAGATGAGCTTCTGTCTCCTGGCTCTAGCATTTTGCATTTCACAGGTGGTGACTTAATAGAACAGTAAAAACATCTAATTTTCACTTCTTGTTTGGTTGGTTTCACTTGACATAGTTTATTTGGTTTTGGTTTTTTTTTTCCCATGTAGGTTTGCATTCAGTGGTGTTGCAACATTTATTTCCTTTCCAGATAGAAAAAAATTGAATTGTATAAATAAAACTTTTTTTTCCTTTACCCAGATTTATCTTTCCCAGAATAGATTTGTAAGTTAAAAGTATTATTTTTCCTGACATGAGGTAAATCTGGGTCTGTGGGAACCACAGGAAATGTGTTCCTCAGTATTGCTGGCTGGTGTTGGAATGCTGTATGGAGCCAGGCTCTCCATAGAGCCCTACATTGTCACTACACTGATTTGAAGAACAGCTCTGTGACACTTTAGTGAGTGTTTGTGGATAGAACAGATGTGGGAGACCAGCCTGCTGTACAGGTAGGAATCACTTTCCCCTCCATATTTTAATCAGTTTGTTGCTTTTCAGAGATGCAGGGATGTGCTCCTGGGGAAAATTGTCTTTTGAAAGCAGTAAGGGATATTATTAAGGGCTTTCAGTGCCCTGGCTCATGTCACTTTATCTTCTTAAATGAGCAAAAACAGGATGAAAGAATTCTGCAGTTACACAAATGGGTAACCTCAGATTTGTGATTTTGATCCCCCCCTCCTCTTTTCCTTTGCCTGGTGTCAGGTCTTTCCTGTTGCACAGTATAAGCTCCTCAACGGAGATTAGGCCTTTGAGTTTTTTGTTTTGTAGGGAGGAAAAAGAAAACACTCTGCACAAATATTTTAATTCTCTGTGACATATTAAACGTGAAGAATTGCATTATCCTGGCTGGTTGGTAGCAGCAAGCTGGTTTGCCACCAAATTTATTGAGATTGAACAGTCTTCCAGCAGCAAGAGATGAAAGCTCAGTGAGTTTTGTATGTTCATTTCTGATGTAGAAGTATTAAAGGGACATGTAGTTATTTATATAGCTCTTCTGAAAATCTGAGTGGTTGGTAAGTGTTAAATTAAGTGGGAAGCAGGGAGTTACATAATAGCCATGTTTTACAAATGGGGCTAATCCCAGTTCAGAAAGGCTGGCTGTGCTAGACCATGTAGCGTCATTAACAGAAGGAGAAATAATGAGTTACAGCCTTGAGTTCCTTGAGCTTATCTCTGTATTATGGGTTTCAGGCACTTTAGTCTGTTTGGTTATAAGAGCAGAGCATGTATTAAGTACATGTTACTTAAATAATTTAATTAACTGTGTTACCTCTGCTAGTTTTCTCACTGTGCTTACAATCTGTGCTTCTATGTCAGTGCATATTAACTTGAGTTGTATTAGGCCAGATTTTTTTTATCAGATTAAAAAACTGTGAAATACAAAATTATTATGATCAGGTAATGGTATTCAGCATCAAATTGTCCTTAATAAAAAGTGTTTGGATTTAAACTTCTAAATTTGTTTCATCAGTTTGAAGATCCTGGTCTTTTTAAATAGGCAGGCTTTTATCAGAGAGTTATAGGCAAGGACTTAAGAATATTGGATCAGCTCAGAATTGAGTGCACTAACATGTTGACTCATACTTTTGACTTGGCTCTAGTCAGAAATACTTTATGTTCTGCTTCACAGTCTGTGTCTTTGGTCAGCATTGCCCAACTGTTCACCCGTTTCATCAGCACATTGAGCCATTTAAAGGAGCAGCTGATTTTGAAATTGGAAAAGAACTGTCTGTGTAAAAATAATTTCATGTCCCTTTCTTTTTAAGGAAGTTGCTATGCAGCACTACTAATGAATAAATAAATTTTATCGTACCTACATGGTCTCTCAGAAGCCCTGTGTAGAAGTTAAGATACAGTACAAAACCTGTGTTTACCTTACTTGTTGTTACTTGATTACTCCCAATACTTCAGTGATAACACTAATAGAGCACTTCATATGCAAAACCCTTGGGGTAGAGATTTGCAAACTTCTGGTATTTGTTGCCAAGTTTATTCTTTACGAAGCATTCTCACCCATTGCTGGGAGTACCACACCTGTTGGAATGCTGTATGGAGCCAGGGACTGTACCAGTCCTTTTCCATTTTCTGGTATTTGTTGCCAAGTTTATTCTTTACGAAGCATTCTCACCCATTGCTGGGAGTACCACACCTGAGTCTGTACCAGTCCTTTTCCATTCTGTGCTGTAGGGCAGCTTTCTAACATAACCAGACTTAAACTTTTCATTTGGTTTATTCATATGGCTTCTTGGTGTACCACTTGAAGGCACTTGCCTTTGTTAATATTAACACTTTGTCAGATAGACTTTAATGAAAGCTTAGGGCTATTACACATTATTGATCATGTTTATTTAAAATAGATGACATGACCTGGAACACTTGCAGAGTTTGGTCAAGTTGGCTAAAGAACATCCTTGTTTTGGGAGGGGATTTGCGTTACTGTCTGTAGGGAGATGATTTGTATTTTCATGCCAGGGTCATTTCTGGTGGAGGTTGGGTTGTGCCTTGGTGGGGGTGCAGTATGCAGGCTGGAAACTTGGGAAGAAAATCCCACTGTGTCTGCAGGGCCAGAGTGGTAGGGTTTGTTACAGACAGATGGAGACCTCTGGGGAACAAGTTTAACAAATATTCTGTTAAAAAAGATTTTTGGGGCACCTCAATTTGGAGACACACATTGGATAGAAGACCTCCCAAGAGCACCACAGGAGTGGAGACTCCCAAGAGTCATTATTTCCAAAGAAATTTTGTGACTAAGGAGGATTTAATTTCTCTGAGGATACTTGTATCTGAAACATGACTGTTCTCTTTCCATACTAAATATTCCTCAAATATGTACTTTTATTTTTTTTTAATCAAACCAGTTAGTAGTAATGATCAGTTACAATATTTGTTGATGCACTTTTTAGCCTTTGTGTACAGCTTTCACATTTGCCACCAATATATTTATTACTTGCATGCAGTGTTTTCTTTGTTTCTGGTTTGGTGCTTAAGCCCTTAGTGTGAGCCCCAGCTAGACTGTAAAATCTCCATCAGCAGCTTGCTTATGCTTGTGGCATTAACCTTTCTGCAGCGGGTTGTGATGTTTATTTATAAAATTCCAGTTTTCCACTTAAAAATAGAATATTATTAAGAGAGTCTTCTTTTTGCCAATTAGGTCAAAGTCCTAAAATTTTAAGACCTAAACCACATGGTTTAGAGCGAACTGATTCACAAACCATAGGTGACTTTACTACAAGAAGAAAGGGTATGTACTTTAGCACTATAAGTATATGGAGCTTTATAAAAATAAGTGAAGCAAAAATTTTTTAAATTGTTATTTTAGAATAAGTCTGGCATATTCTTTTCTGCTATAATCTAAAGTGATGGATGCATTTTCCATGCCAAGCAACCAGTTTTCTGTATAAAGAATTAAAGATTTTCTGGCTTGAACAGTGCCCGGAAATTTTTCTTTGATATTAACATGAATGTTCTGATCTCTTATGTTGTGGCTGTTCATATTTTGTCTGTTTATTTAAAAGCAAGTACATAATAACTTGTAAATTGTACATAGTAACTTGTAAGTTACTTGAAACTTTTATTAGGCAATAACCTGAAATCACAGTTGACTTAGGTCTTGAAATGAAGCAAAATATTGATCTTCTGATCGACATCTATTTATGCACCTTAAAGAGGATTGCAATTAATTTAATGGAATGTATTGAAGATGCTGAGTTGGTGCGTTACATAGTCACAAGAGGTAGAGAAAATAATGAACAACATTAAAAATCTCAGAGAAATATCACTGATTACCTTTGGGTTTTGAAGTCCATTGCAACAGGATGAAATACTTCTGCTGTTCTTGGTGGGCTTTGGACTAAGTCTTAGCTCTGTCTATTGCAGCAGCACCACCTTGCCCACTGTTTATTCCGGCCAGGTAGCCTCAGACCTTTACAGAAAACTTGAACCAAGCTGATCAATTTTGTGTCAGTTGTGCTTTAGTATCATCTTGCCTATGTCATGTTCAGTTCTGTTACTACATGCCTGACACTTGATCTTAGTGAACCTGCCAAGAGGCAGAAAACTCATTGTGGGAGGGAGCACAAGAAGAGAAAGGGCTGTTTTTATGATGACATTGCATTTTGTTTTCTAAAAACAGTTTTAGGGAGGATAAAGTTGACAGCAGTTTGACTCTGTGATTTTTTTTTCCACAAGCCTTTTTATACTTTTCTTTTTTTCTAATGTTTAGGTGGTGTGAGACATATAAGCTAGAGGAAGGGATAATGTGTTTCTTGCTAATAGCCTACTCATGGTTCTATTCTGAAAATGAAATTTAAAAATGACACTTTTTTTGAGAACAGTGTTATCTGTCATGAGTGGCACAAGCTGTCATGAGTGGCATATTGCTCTGCTCGACTGTGGATGATCTCTGAAGCGAGCCAGGCTCCTCATGCTGTTGGTTCATTTCTGACTTTTGCAGACTTAGTCTTAGCTGCAGGTTCTGCCCACTCGTGGAGCTGTGAAACCTCACCAGTAAGGGCACATATTTTGCAGACTTAGTCTTAGCTGCAGGTTCTGCTATGGAGCTATGAAACCTCACCAGTAAGGGCACATGTGCACAGTGAGGGCAGAGTTTCCATATTGACAGCTGGCCCTGAGCCGAGAAAAGTCCCCAGAGTTGGCTCTGCTGAAACAGCCCATCAGCCCTGCCCTGGGCTTGCCAGCTCAACAAGTCAACAAGGCAGAATGAGGACAGAATACGATGCTGCCACTTTCAAAATCTCTTTTCAAAACAGAATTGCTACCTACAAGTATATGCTGCAAAATTCTGAAGTTGCAGTGGGTTTTTTTTAATTTTATATTTTAATTTTTTAATTGATGTTTCCTCTCATTACCTGAAGAGATTAAAACTGTAGGTTAATATATCATGTCTTTCTGAGAATGGAAGTGTCTCCCTTTCCTTACTAGTATTTACTATTTGAAAAATATAGGTTTTTTTCTGTATTTAGTCTGTGAAAAGCTATTAAATTTAAGTTTGTTTAGGAAAGTTCTGTGCTTTACAGTTGTCTGTTTCTTACATAGCAAAACCAGCTCCACTAGAAATAAAACCTCTGCCTGAATGGGAAGAATTACAAGCTCCAGTTAGATCTCCTATCACCAGAAGCTTTGCACGAGAGTAAGTTTCTTGGCTTTTCCTCATTCAGAGTAATCATTTTGGTGACTGGAGTGTCAATAAGTGTGTGCACATCTGTATCATATTGTTAGCTTGCTTGTAGCTTGAAGTTTCCTGTGGAAGAGTGTGAGTCTGTGTGTGTATCTGTGCACTGAAATAAAGTGTGTCCGTGTGAAGTTTTGTTTTGTGATATTAAATATAAGGGACTGTGTATAACCAAAAAATATGACACTCTAGTAAACTTGAATTAAAATTTCAGCTCTAATATGCTTATTTTTGTTGTTTACCAGGAGGTTTAAGATATTGCAGATGTATTGTTTGTAAAATAATTCCTGGTAATTAGCTCCTCCAGGTTTCCCGTGTCTCCCAGACCGGATTCAGTTCATAGCACAACTTCCAGCAGTGACTCGCACGACAGTGAAGAGAATTATGTATCCATGAACCCAAATCAGTCCACTGAAGACCCAGTATGTAAAATCTACCTCTTAACTACTCTCTTCCTGTGCAGTCCTTACTTTTAAATCATGCAAACATAGATCCTTCACTCAACATCACTCCCTTTATACTTCTAGATCAACAGAAAAAACCCATAGCAAAGCTGTAATTTTGGTAGGATTTCACTGAAGAAGCTAAGAGCATAAAGAAAATGGTAGATATACATATCTATTATAGAAAACAGTATACAAAATTACTTTTTTTTTACCTCTTTCCTAGAATCTGTCCCCTCTTTGTAATTGTTTGTCCTTGGGCTATGTACCAGTTCAGTATTATGACATGAAGGGAAATAAACTGTCCTAGGACCTCTGAGACATACTTAAAAACTGTATTAAAGGGACATCTTCCAGGAAATGTAGAAGGAACAGGGGAAGAAAGACTATTGATACATTCTATGAAAATTAAACCATGTCTATTTTATTAGGTGTCTTTCAAAAAAGAAGATAGAAGGAGTCTTGAATGTCTGAATGTCTGAATTTTTTCCCCTTCGGGGGAGAATTTTCTCAGATAAGGAAGCTTCAGATACTCAGCATGGAGTGCAGCTAGTTAGAAAAAGTTAATGATCACACTGTGGTTTTTCTTTGGTGAGGTGAAGGAGAGAGAGAAAAAGAAGACTTAATAACAGTAGTTTTAAGGAAGACAATAGCAGTAGACCTAGGCCTAAACTAAAATGTGGTTTAGAATATGCATAAAACATTGGAGGAAACCCGTATCTTGAGCTCAGCTTTTCGTCTAGTGTAGAATCATGGAATGGTTTGGATTGAAAGGGACCTTAAAGATCATGTTGTTCCAACCTCCCATGCCATGGGCAGGGACGGTCGACTAGACTGGGTTGTTCAAACCCAGTTCTAGTTGAGCAACTGGACTGGGTTGTTCAAACCCCTATCCACTCAGTTCAGTGTTTGGGTTCTTAGTAGGGGACACAGCAGTATTTTTCATCTTGAAATAACTTATTTATTACCTTCTTTGGGGAGGGCCTGTCTAGCACCGTTTTTGTTCTGTTTGTGTGTCTGCCTTCTTATATGGCATGTGCTGGCCCATCTCACTGCCCCTGAACCTTCCTCTCACAACGCTGTTCACTTTTCTGTCTCCTGCTACTCTGGATCCCCTGCCAGTCTCCCCCAGTGTCCCTGCCCCCAGCATACCACTGCTGCCCCTGGATGCCACATCCCAGGTCCCCCTCATGCCATTCCCTGTGGGAGCTGGTGAGGTGCAGGCTCCAGAGCCTGCGGAGCGCCCCAAGCTGTGCCTTGTGCCTGTTGTCCTTCTCAGGGGAAAAGCACCGAGCAAGGGGGAACTGCTGATGTTAAATCTTAGCTCCTCTCTTGCAAGGGCCATTGGTAAGTAATGGGTGATTTCCCGTTTCACAGGTACAAGAAACATCCCATATTAGACCAGAGATTAGCCCCAACCGTGCCCACAGTTCTCCCTGCACAGAATCCCAGTTCAGCCTGGATGTTTCTGTTGATTCATAAGGCTGTTCCAGGGGCTTAACTTCCATACCAAGATGGTACAATTAATGCTCCAGCTCATTAATATCTTCTGTTTGCTTATACCAGTCCTATTTTAAGGTTATTCTACAGATTTCGTTTCTGTTTCATTTGTGTGTATTTAAAGTTTCTGTTTCCTAATGCATATGTTCTGCCTGCTTAGTTTGTTTGAAATAACATATTATTTTTTGTTTAATGAGTAACAGCTTTTTAAATTTGTGCTGGAAACATTGATACAGAATCTGATTTTTGTCTCTTTAATATACAGAAAATTGTTCTGAGAATTTGAGCAATGAAAATGAACATCATATGTTTGTGTTTGTCCTTGTCACCACTTAATGTTAAATGAGTTGGACAGTAGAGATATAATGGATAACTTCAATTTCAAAAGCCCAGTCCATTTGGCTTTAGCCCATAAAATACTTTATTTCCTAAAGAACCAGAACATTTCTGGATATCTCATGGCCTTTGTTTTAAAATTTGGCTTTTTGAGAATTTTCACTTGTTCCAACTCTATCTTAGCAAGGAATCCATATTTCTTAATCTTTTTCTGTCATCAGCTTTGAAACATCTTGTTTGAACATGTCATACTTATGTTTTATTTAATAAAATCAGCAATATTCTGCTTTTTCTTTCAAGTTGCTCTCAGCCTTACCCTTCTGTCTTTCCTTCTGCCTTCCTCTTCATTTTTTGCTGACTGCTGCCCTCTGTCTTCCTGTTTTTTCTTTATCTTTTAGAGAAGAGTCCTTCTATTGTACTGTTCCTATAACACCTGTTAAGAGGGAGGGATCAGGCTGGGAGAGGACAGAGGAGGTGAGGTTGTAAAAGTCTGGGCTATTTGAAATTTAGATATATATAATGCAACTTGAGTTCAGGCAGCCCTACGCATATTTTCCAAAGTTTTAATATTTTAATCTTGTTAGTTGAACAATACTCTTTGATTTTCACTTTAATCATGATGACTTTTGTATGAAATGTAAAAGTTTCATTTTTAGCTTTGCAACTATTGTAAAGCAGAAATTATTGTAGGTATTTAACAAAAATTGAGGAAAATAGAAAAGTTTGTGCTTGAGTAATGCTAAATTTAAGATATAATAACTACATTTAAAAAGAACAAAACATGATCTGTTCTTATTTTGTGATATGAAGGGGACATTAAGTGGAAAGCACAGATGTAGAAAGCACAGATGGCAACCTTAAATTTGGGGGGGGGTGTTTTTTGGGTTTTTTCCTCCCATTGGGTTTTGACTCTGTCCCATTTTTGACATAGAATGTATCCCCTTGCCATACAGGGTCAATGAAATTTGCATGATTTAAATGATTGCAAGAGTCTCAGTCATTTCCTTAACCTTTTACATTTTGGCAATTCATAGTAAGCATATTTGATAATGTGGGCCACTAGTTTGTACATTTGTAGCTGAGGTTGTTTATATTATGATTTCAGAATTTGTTTGGAAGCAACAGCCTTGATGGAGGAAGCAGCCCTATGGTAAAACCTAAAGGAGATAAACAAGTGGAATATTTAGATCTGGACCTAGATTCGGGAAAGTCTACGCCACCTCGTAAGGTAAGCAGATGCTCAGCTCTTGCTTTTCTGCCATTAGGGGTTCAAAATTGCCTCCAGTAAGATCTCTTAATGGTCATTTCTCAAATGATTAGTGGAGAGACAGTGCTGGACCTTTCAGAGGAACCAGTGCTTGTTCTGTGTTTATTTGGCACACCTACTTGCTTTTTTGTTGTTAATTTACTTGAACATGTTTCTCCCTGTTCCCAGAAAAAGAACAGTGGCTCAGGCAGCAGCGTGGCAGACGAGAGGGTTGATTATGTTGTGGTGGACCAGCAGAAAACGCTGGCCCTGAAGAGCACGCGGGAGGCATGGACTGATGGCAGACAGTCTACGGAGTCCGAGACTCCCACGAAAAGTGTGAAGTGAAAACACTGCTTTGTCTTTGAAGAATGGAAAGAAGTGAATTTTGAAGAATCACAGAACCACAATGGCAGTGTTGTTCAGCTGTACAGTGCCTGATTCCCTGGGGTGGGAATCAGTTCCTCACCGAATGGGTTGGAAGCCAAAAGACACTTTGAATATATCAAAGGAACTTTAAGATCATGAATTGGCTCTGTGGTGTCTGGGAAAATCACAGCCTGTAAATAACCTGTAAAATAATATTACTTAGGTTTCAGAAAACCTTTTATTCTGTAGTTAAAACATTTGTAGTATTACTGTGTTTATGCACTTTTTCAGTTACATTGTTGGGTCAGGTATTCACAGTTAGTGTACCTTAATGTCTAATTCATCTGGAGAATTCTTTTTTCCTTACACTACTATTCCTCACAATTTTAGGTTAATTAAGCTACATGTAGATATGGAAATTAATATTTGAACTTCATTTTAACAACTCAGAATTGATTTTGCAGAAATACTTTCACAATTGAATAATCTACTTGAAATGCCAAGAGACAACTGTTAGTTACATACTTGTTTATATTTAATACATGCAAGATTATTTGGAAGTCTACAGGCTACCTTCCTAACAAAAAATTGCTGTGAGTTAATAATAATGAACTGTACTGGGTTTAGACCTAAAATCCTGGCTTATATGTTAGTTGTTAGTGGTGGAACTTCTATTGTATTTTATTAATGACAGTGTTCTGTGTTCAATGGGTGAAGATTCTGCAGGGTGGGATCTTACACTTTCAAAGACTGAATAATTAAATGTCAAGTAAGCCTGCAAACCACTGATGGCATGTAGTAATATTGTGATCTCACACTTATTAACAAGAAATAACCTTTATATTATTTACAGAAGGTAGAGTATATAAATCAGGTACGTACCAAGCACTGTTGTGCTAATACACTGATCAGGTTTAGACAATGAGCTTTAGTTTTGTACTGTTTAGAAGTTCTAATGTCAGTTTTCAGTTCAAGATTAATGGGACAGTTTGACATTCACTTTTTGTAGTACTAGCAAAATACTGTGATTTTGAATTAGACATTAACTCAAATGGAAATACTATGTTTTAACACCATAGTGCCCTTCTTATGAGCTCTGTATTACTTTAATCTCCTGCTTGGCCTTATATTTAAATCCCTATGCAACTGATATTTTATATCTCTGTTTTTAAAAATTAGATAATATACCTAAATGATCCCCTTGTAAACCACTTGTTGCTCTTTCCTGGTACAGGATTTTAAACTTTGTATACTGTGATCCTTTATTTTACTATGCCAGTTCCAAATAATAATCTGCCTTGGTTTAGAAACATTTTTTGTTATTTGGAAGAAGATAGAGTTCTTTAAATACATGAATGAGTTAGGTCTAGATAGAAAACTTACTAACACTTATTTTATACAAATGCCCTCAATTAAGTGGTTGGTTTTGTTTTCCTGCCCAATTGGGGTTTTTTTGTCCAGATCATTTAAAAGTTGAGCTTAAAGCTGCATTGTTTTCTGGAATGTTTGCCTTCGTACTGTGCCTAATCTACCATTGGTTGTTTCTCTCCCCTCACAGCCACAATCTGCCATATGTAAATTATCTTGTTCTTAACAAAGGTTCTTTTTAAATTAGTAATATTTTGATGCTTTGAATGTTCATTTTAAAAAAGAAACTAAACACAGTGCATTTTGAGGTGAATTTTAAATAAATCAAGTTGTTCTGTTCTGGTGTGTAAACTCTGTCCTGCAAAGCAGCAAACGGATGTCAGTGTGTCTGGGAAGGTGTCTGGATACCAGCCATGTTTTTTCAGAATTGTAGATGTACAGCTAGAACAATTTTTAACTTGGATACTCTGATTTAAAACCCTGTGCCAAGAAGCCAAATAATGTGAATTCCCACTCTTCTGGGTGCCAGGAAAAAATCAGTCTCCTATGCCAGCCTCTCTTGCTGAGCTAGTGATAGGAGATGGGTTTGCTCTAACTTTGCTGATATCAGTCCTTGATTTACAGATTACACTTACTCGTTCTTCATTTAAAATTTGGCAGGATTCACAACATGATTTGTTATTATGATTGAGAATCCACTCTTAACTTCTAGGCTTTCTTTTGTTAAGGAAAACAGGAGTTTCCACACTGTACAGACAGTGTAACATTTTCTGAGTATCAGTCTACAATTTCTCTTTAATTAGATTTCTAAGCAGTTTTCGCCTCCATATTCCAGTATTACATTTTCCATACTTACATGCTGTCTGTGGTATGTTCAGAATCAGAGGTGTGATATTAACTTCTGATGACACATCTCATTTTCACCAGTGAAACTACAGGGGCTTCACAGTGCAGATCTGTCTGAGTTCTTGGATGGTCTAAGGATGTGAATATAAAATTGAAAATGTGACTCCTAAACTTGTAGGTGATAGAAAGCAAGTGAAACTGATATCAGCCCTGTGTCACTTCCAGTTACTAGTTATGTGAGGACACTAGTTGGAGGCAAGCTGGTGGAAAACTGAAGTACATAGTGGTGCAGAAGTAGCTTGTCAATGTTGCTTGTTAAGTGTTCTTTTTTCAAACAGGTAAGTTTTCTCTTGTTTCGCTCAAACTCTGTGTTACCAGTTGCAGATACAGTTTTTATTGCTGTGTGTGTCATTATAAATTGTAAACATATATACATGCAATATGTCTTTTACAAGTATATAACATCTTGCTCTTAAAAATCAAAAGAAAACTTGGTGCCTTTTACATTAAGATTGACTTGAGAGGTGATCTGGTATCATTCCATGATGTGATGTGAACATTTCTTTATCTGCTAAGTACCAATAGCCACACTTTTACAGACTGCGATATAACCACTATTACCTCATGAAGTGCAGGTGCAAACACAGCTGCTCTGCTGCACTAGAACTTCATAATGTGACATGGAAAAAGGTGAAAATGTGGTGTTTAGTCTTTTTTCTTTACTGATATTTGTATTTATGTAAAAAAAAAAAACAAACCATTAATGTATGACAGCTGTGACATAGTGCCACACCTGGGGAGTACAGACCAATTACAGTATAGCTGTTTTGATTAAGTAATTTAGAATTTATTGCTTCTTGTAGCTAATATGGGAGTGATGGGCACCTGTTGCTTTTACAGTGCACTATGAGCCAAGAAAGATTTTTATCACAGAGAAATTTAAGTTTAGCTATTATTGCACCAGTAAATTTTTATATGTATATGTGTGTGTATACATGTACATGTGTATATATATATATATATGTGTGTGTGTATATACACATATATATGTGCAGTACTCTTGCAAAAGTGCTTTGGAAACTTAGCAGCCCTGGAGAGAAGTTCCATTCCCTCCTTAGCTTATGTCATGAAAAGTGAATGGACATTTATTTGCTCAAGGAGAAGGCACTGCCATACAATATCAGTGTGCAATTTGGACAGCAATAGTGTCACTTCATCTTTTGAAATATTTTATACCTGTAATTCTTAAGAAGCTCACAGGTGGACTTAGATTTTGAGATTATCCTGCATATTTCCTAGATCTGCTCTTGATCTCTGTGTATTGCACCAAACTGCTTCTTAAATGTCAATTCCTTGTTGTTTTATTTCTTTAATATGGCCATGACCACAAAAAAAGGTGCTTGTCTGGCAATTAGTGTAATAAGTGTTCCACAAAAACATTGTGTTGATTGGGTGGAGATGAACCAAATCCCAAGCAATAAGGTTTCTGGATTTTGCCCTAACTGAACAAACATTTTGAGTTCAGCTCTCAGCCTAACAAGGTGCAGAGTAGGGTACAAAGAAAAGGTTTTGAGAGGGTTATGAACAATATCTTTGACATATTAACTTTTTCAGAATATGTTTATGGTTCCGCAGCCCTGATGTTAATTTTCAGTAGCAAAAGTGGGAGGAGAACAGGTATGGGATGCATGACTAGTTGAAAGGTTTTTGCCATCTTGTTATTAAGTAAACAGAACTAGACTGTTCTGGTGCCAGTGGTTTTCTTTCTAGATGGTCTAGAAAATAATATTTCCATGTTTCATTTCAGAGGGATGATCTCTTTGCTTCAGCTTTTTTATAAGTAGGTTAGCTGAAGTGTACATTGTGTAATCTGCTGTTCATACACAGAAAATGTTTAACTTTAATATGCTAAAATGGAATAGAATAAAATCCTGTACAGTTTAGAACATTAAGCACCAAGTTGGCAAAATGGAGACTCTCAAAGTTTTCCTGCAATTATAAAGCCAGCACTTGTAGTAATCATCATGATTTGCTCTTGAAAATTCTCCCAGGATCTCTCAGCATTGTCAAGCCTTTTCCTGGTAAGTTGTATCTGCAGTGAAATAAAAAGAAAATGTGGATCACATTTTCAGAAAGGCCAATCCTAATAAGATTTTAATAAATGCTCTTTGAGGTCCTGGGTTTAGGTGTGTGGGGGGGCTTGCACAAGGTACCCAGACAGCTGATTGTTTTAATCAGAAGGCCAGAAGAGGAGGAAAATATAAATGTGCCTTATTTTCACTGAATTCCTACCAGACTTTTAAAATATGTAAGTTTTCATATTTTTATGTGCTTTTTAGGGAATATACTTTAGAGGAAGGAATCACTACTTGCTTCTGTGCACTTGTGCTGGTTTTTGCACAATTATAAACTATGCAGATTAGCTGAAGGTTTAAGGTTTTTTCTTTCTATTTTGTGTTAGAGGTGAAGGATGCAGGCCTGGGAGTCTGGGGATGCCTCAGACTGGCCTGCTGGTGTACCTCAGAGTCTGGAGTTAATTGCATCAAAACCTCTGCATTCAACCCTCTGCTGAGGTGATCTTCATAGCAATACCTATAAATCATGGTGTGTATATTTATTTTAATTAGTCATAATTGAAACCTAAATTGGAAACAAAGAGTGTTCAGAGTTAAGGTCTCTAATCTCTGGTTACACATAGAGCAGCATTTGAAAAGGCATTATGTGTAACAGGGTTCAAATTCCCCAGGCACACAAATCCATTTAGGATCTTTTGAGAAGCAGAATTTCACATTCAAGGCACTGCTGTCCTCTTTAAGTAAGTGAAAGTTCCAAGAACTTTTTAAAAATCTAATTTCTACTCAATTATGTAAATATAAGTTTAAGAAATGAATTTGAAAAACACACCTTGTGTTATAACTATTTTTTTTCCTCCATAAATGAAAGAAGTGATGATTCTTAAGACATTTTTACCTTTAGTTCTACCCACTGACAGCCCAATATGAGGAAGCACAAAACAGACTTGGCCCTTGAACTTTTTAAAAAAGAAGGAAAAAAGGAAAGAAGGAAAAAAGTAAAGGAGCCACCCAGGACCAGGATTTAGCCTCTGATCTCTTCATACACCATGTGGTGCAGCTGCCCCCGGTTCCAGTGCTCAGTTTAGAAGTTGGGACATAGATCCTGTGGCCAGTACCAGGGAAGCACCAACAAGATCTGAAAATGTGGTTTGCTTAAAAACAATATCAAGAGTTCAAGCAAAAATTTAGTTTTGGAGAGGGTTGGTGAGTTTGTTTCCTCTGTGTAAAATGAACAGGATAATATTTAGGATTGTGATGCAAGTATACTCAGTACCACCCTTTGGGAGCTATGCTGTATCTCAGTATGAATATTATTGTTCACCCCCTTTTTTTGGTATCTGTGCTCTGTGTTTTTTGTACAGCATTTGGTATACCAGGAGAAGGGCTGTCTTTAAAGTCTGGGATCAAGAATCAGAAAACATTGGCTCCCAACAATGTTTTAAGTTTAAGGATAAATTTCCAATGGATAGTTCTAAGATCTCAAGATTTTCCTTTAGTAGGTGCATTGTTTATAAGGATGGAAACTTGAAATCAGGCAAGCAGTTATTGTTCTGTAAATGGAATGTTATGCTGCTTTAAAAGAAACCCAAACATTTTTTTAATTAAATTATTTAAAATTATCCATTCTGCACACACAATGTCAGACTTTTCTCTTAGTAGCTTTTATCTCCCCTGCATCATAATTATCTGAATAAATGCTGTGACATTTTCTCCAGGACACGTAGTTCTTTGGTGAAGTCTTACTTTGATTTTCTGTGTATTTCTGACATGAATTTTCCCCCAACTATTCTCTTTAATTAAAGGAGGGTTGAAAACCAACTACTTTTATAAAAGCTGCTCTGTTTTCTGTGAGTGAGGAGAAGGTTTTTTTAATGTAGCAAATCTCTGCTGTGATTCAGAATGATCACTACTGCAGAAAGTAATTCAGGTGATGTATACAAAGCAGTAACTCCAAAGCAGTGACTATAGGCTGATACAAAAAGCATATTCATGTGTAAAACCAAAGGCTCAGGAAATACATGTGGCACAAAACAACCACAATCCACAGCACACATGAGGGTCCATGATTTTTGCAATAAAAGCTGTGTTGGAAGCCCCTGTATGTCCTATCTCTTCTGAAACTACAGTTACAGGTAAGTAGATATTTATCAATGTTAAGTATCAAAAGTGTTTTTCTAAGTCTTTCATGAGTATTTGAGTATCTAAACACTGTGGGGAAAATTGGCCCAGATGACAACTGAGGAGAAACACAGCAGCATAAGAAAGGCTAGATAACCATGAAAATGAGATTAAGATGCCGTGGCAGAGGCTTCAATGTATGAAATTTGGGTGTAGAGGCAGATAGATACCTGTGTATATGTGAAATTCAACTAGAACTGTTACTGAATGGATAAAACTGTCCATGTAGTTAAAACAGAA